GTGTGTGTGTGGTGTGTGTGTGTTGTGTGTGTGTCGTGTGTGTGTGTGTGCGTGTGTGTGCGTATGTGTGTGTGTGCGTGTGTGTGTGTGTGCGTGTGTGTGCGTGTACGTATGTGTGAAAACATTGTGCACGCGTGTCATTAGGAGTCCGCGCGCATTACGGGACACGAAGAGCAGACTGCAGTAACAGCAACGTGATAATAGGGTAGCAGCGCGATGATAAAGAACAGCGCCGTGTTTGACAGCTGAGTTGTTGCCAGCCGTCAAACATACACCACCGCGTGCTATGTCGCTCACACTCATTGTCTGCTCATCATTAGCGAGGTTGACGTAAAGTCTCGCACCGAGGGCTGTCACGTTATATCCGGTGGGACCCGGTAATGGAGGACGCATCAACGACAGGTGAGATGAGTGGGTGACACCTCTGCGCGGCTGTCATCGACAGACAGATCACGAGCGTATATTACCTTGATGATAACGCGTCTCTGTATCCAGCTAATGCTACTGACACGAAAAGTGGCAAAGACGCTGCTTCTTGTTTTTGAACTTTGACCTACATTATGAACCCACTCGACTCCCCTTGATCTGCCTGCCTGGCGTTCCTTATTTTGGCTTTTTATGATGTTCAGATGTTTGCCATAAGTTTATCACGTCTGACGTTCCTTGCCATGCCTTGTGTTTTATTCCTCAGCTGATGTTTCTAATCATGCAATAAATTATACAACCTACCCATTATTCATCACCATTTATTTTGTTCCACCCATATACCTGTTCCACGCCATATACCATACATATCAAGAGTAGATAATAACACATGTGTTATTATCTACTCTTGATACATATGTTGCTCACCATGACCTCTGTTTCGATATTGTCTGATGTTCTTAACCATATCATATGTTCCAGCCGCTGTCACGCGAAGCGTTCTTCGCCATGCTCTGTGTTCCACACCCAGCTAGCCCCCGCGGGACGTTCCTCGATATTCCTGCCTTCGTTTCTTCTCTGCAACCTACGTTTATTGTACACTGTCTGACGTCAGTTGACTCAGTCTAAATGTATGTGCATTTACACACGGTGTGCTTCAGTCTTTCGTTCTCCGCCTTTCTTCACTTAGTAAACAGGAGAAGCGATTATCCTCGGAACAATGAGGTTCGAGAACTCTCGACTCTACACGTTTTTGCTGTGAGTGGCCGGTGCGTGAGGCTGCCACGCATTAAAACTGTTCAAAGGAACGAGCGAGAGCTAGAATTAACCGCCGCTGATGTGCGTCAAAGGGCCGCACGAGGAAGAAAATATTTAAGCGAATCGCAGCGTTTGATGTGAAGAGGTCAGTGAATTCATTTCTCGCAGACACGTTGGTTCATTCTGTATCCTTTTCTTCCCAAAAATAAATATAGAGGGCGTATCAATCAAAAGTGCTTGTAGACATGAAAGCCTAGCATAGTATATCTGTTTGGAATTAACGTTCTGGGAACAAGCGATTAATTTACTGTTTGTTTGGAAAGAATCTGTTTGTTCTTGACCATGGTCTAGGGTGAGTTTTATAGAATAACAAGATGCTCTGATTATTATGATATTTACCGTGAGTGCTGCAATATAACTGATATTAATGTTAGCCAGCTAATTCAAAATGTATCAAACAAAGAAAGTTCATTGGTCACTGTAATAACTGGTAATAACTGGTAATAACCGGTAACAGCTGATAATGTAAACCAGACCCGACAGCAAGGAAAGCCACGTCAACACTGGAGAGCTAGTGCTTCCCCCTATAAACAATAGCCACGGTCATCACACGCCGAGGCGTGATTGGTTGAGTCGGTCGAGTTAACCTTATCCCATGACGCGCTACCACATGCCTCCATCTCATGACCGGAAGCACTCCTCCGAGGTCCAGCCTCGGAGGTGGCACTCCACGGGTGAGCCGGCCTGCGCGACGCACCGGTGGAGCAGCTCGATGTGAAGACGCCGGCTGCCCAGCCACAGCCCTACCAGGCGGCCTGAGCCTCAGCTGCACGCAGGGCCGGCAGTGGTGAATCCTCACGCGGAACCTCACGGCTCGTAACCTCGGGCAGCACAGGAAATTCCGGCTTAGCTGGTTCCTCAACCTGTTCAGGCAGTGCGGGTGCATCCAGATTGCCGGTGCATTGTAGAAGGTGGTCCTGATGACAACGTACGATACGACCATCTTGGAGCTGGGCCGTGAATGATAATGGACAGATACGCCGCAGCAGATTACCCGGTAACCATGTTGGTCCACTCGCAATGTTGCACACCAAGACGCTGTCTCCAGGGTTGAATGAGCTATCTTGTGCGTGTTTGTTGTGTTGCTGCTTCTGTGTTTCCTGCTTTTCTTCCACCCTAGTGCTTGTCCGTGGGTGGACCAAGTCTAGCCTAGACTTGGGTCAACGTCGAAGCAGCAGCTCTGCTGGAGAGCGACCAGTGGTTGAATGCGATGTGAGACGATAGTTCGCGAACCAACGTGTGAGTCGAGTCTTAAGTGAATCAGGCTACATACGCTTCATCCCTTTCTTGAAGAACTGAACAGCTCTATCCGCGAGGCCATTCGACGATGAGTGGTAAGGTGCAGTGAATGTATGACGGATGCCCTTAGCTGAGATAAACATGGCAAACTCTTCACTGGTGAGTGTAGGCCAGTTATCGCTGACAATACAGTCTGGTAGACCATGCGTGGCGAAGCAGAATCTCAGCTTCTCCACTGTTTTCCGACTGGTTATTTTCTGCATCATGAAGACTTCCAGCCACTTAGTATGCGAGTCAGTGATGACGAGAAACATGTGTCCTAAGAAAGAACCGGCAAAATCCACATGTATGCGGCTCCACAGATTCGCAGCATACTCCCATGGATGTAGTGGTGTTTTTACTGGCCTGGATCGATTCACCTGACATGATATGCAGCTTTTCATTCTATCTTCCAGATCACTATCCATAGAAGGCCACCACACATAGTTGCGTGCCAGACTTTTCATGCGTGATGTGCCCGGATGGGCCTCATGAAGCTCTTCAATCAGTGCCGCACGATAGACGTCAGGCACAACTACACGTATACCCCACAACACACACCCGTCCTCACATGACAATTCCGTTCTCCGACGGAAGTAAGGCATCAGTTCCACTGACGGATTGTTATCAGGCCAGCCCTGCAGCACATATTGAACGACACGTGCCAGGACTGAATTCGATTTAGTGTCTTGCTGAATTATCGCGCATGTCACAGGACATTCTTCTAGGTGCTGCATCAAGTTGACTACCGATGATGGTACCGGTATCTCCATAGACTGAGGTAGTGGAAGCCTACTTAGCGCATCTGCATTTGCTATGGATGGGCCAGGCCTGTAGACAAGCTCGTAGTCGTAGCCTTGTAGGATGCGTGCCCATCTCTGCAATCGAGCCGATGCCAGTTGTGGAACTGCCTTCAGCTCCCCCAGTAGACGTAGTAAAGGATTATGATCAGTGACAATTTTGAAATGTCTCCCCCACAGGTACTTGCAGAATTTCTTGACGCCCACCATCATGGCCAATGCTTCTTTCTCCACCTGATCATAGTTCTTTTTAGCTGGTTGCAAAGTCCTGGCATGATAGCAGACAGGATGCTCATCACCATCAATCTCGTGAGCCAGGACCGCACCTACTCCATAGGCTGAAGCGTCACAAGTCAGCAACAGGGGTTTATTGACATCATAATGCGTCAAGACAAGAGCTTTCCGCCGGAGCTTCTTGGCAGCATTGAAAGCTCGGTCTTGATCGGTGCCCTAACTGAACACATATCAGTTATGTAAGAGCCGATGTAGTGGTTCAAGAGTGCTCGCCAAGTGTGGTAGGAACCGCCGGTAGAAGGTCAGCATACCTAGGAAAGCCCGGACTTGTGTCACATCTTTGGGCTTTGGTGCGGCCACAATTGCAAAGACCCTGCTATCCAGTGTAGCCAGACCATCCTTGCTGATTTGATGACCAAGGTACTGCACGGATGTCATGCCGAAACAGCACTTGTTCTTCCTTAACCGCAGGCCAGCCTCAGCGAGCCGTTGAAGAACTTCCTCCAGATTGGCCTGGTGTTCTTCCTTAGAAGCGCCAGACACGAGAATGTCATCAAGGTATACAGTAGTGCGAGGGATTCCTGCCAGCAGATTCTCAATCACTTGCTGGAAAATCGCTGGGGCCGATGAGATTCCAAATGCGAGTCGACTGTGGACAATTAAGCCTATGTAAGTGTTTATGGTAGTATACTGCTTACTCCTCTCATCAAGCTCAATTTGTTGGTAAGCATGTGCCATGTCCAGCTTGGTGAACAGCACACCTCCCGACAGCGTAGCGAAGAGATCTTCAGGTGTCGGAAGTGGGTAGCGATCTACATCCGCAAACCGTGTCACCGTGACCTTATAGTCACCACATATGCGTACCGTGTTATCCGGTTTTAAAATAGGCACAATTGGTGCTGCCCACTCAGCAGAAACCACCGGCTGAATGATGTTGGCCTCGATTAGGCTGTCTAGTTCCTGATCAATCTTGTGCTTCATCAGATATGGCACAGTCCTAGCCTTACAGAAGACTGGAGTTGCCTCCGACTTCACATGAATTGAAGCGGTCACATTCTTCATCGTGCCCAGTTCATCACAAAACAGCTCGGGGTACCAAGAGCTCGGGCTCGAGTCAGCTCGGTTAAGCTGCTTCTCCTTCAGCAGGTGGATTGTCTGCCAATCCAGTTGTAGAGTGCGTAGCCAGTTTCTTCCCATGATAATAGCGCCCCCTCCAGGGACCACCAACAACGGCAAGGTTGCTCGCTGGTTGTTGTGATCGACAGAAGCTTGGAACTCCCCGCAGGTTTGTACTGGCTCACCAGTATAAGTTCGAAGCTTGACTGTGCTCGGCTGCAGTCTAGCCTTTTTCCGGCCAAATATATTCCGATATGCGTTTTCTCTTATGAGCGAGAATGAGGCACCTGTATCAACTTTCATCGGTAACATTTGGCCATTCATCTTGACTTAAACGATGATCGGAGGCTCTGAACGAGTGCTGCTCACTGTATAGACTGAGTAAAGCTCCTCCGAAGCAGCAGATGATGGCGTCGTCTCAACCATGTTCATCTGATTTCCCCGCTTGGCGCGACACACCCGCGAGATGTGTCCTGTCTTGCCGCAGCTAAAACAGGTTTCACTCTTGTAACGGCAGCTATTCGGTTGATGCATACCCCCGCAGCGGTAGCATTTCGAGCGGAAAGGCGTTTTTTCTTCTGTTGCTTGAGCAAGTTTACGCAGGCCAGGGCGCAACACGGTACTGCTGCGTTGTCTAGTACCACTCTGTTGCCTAGTCGAGTTAGGTTGAGTACTACTGTGCTGGCCAGGGTTTGGACGAGTCCCTCACTCTTTACCCCGATCACTAACCTATCCCGCAGCATCTTGTCCAAGGTATCGTCAAAGTTACAGTCTTTGGACAGTCTCCTCAGCTCTGCCATGAACCCCGAAATCGATTCAGATGCTCCTTGTACCCTGGTGTGAAATTTAAACCGTTCCATTATCTCGGCAGGCTTTGGCGAAAAGTGTTCCTTCATTACGTCAATTAACTCCTCATAGAGCTTGGTGGCTGGGTTATCCGGCGAGCACAAATTCCGCAGCAGCCTGTATGCCTCTGGCCCCATGACGGTCAATAGTACAGCCCGTTTCTTTAACCCAAAAATATCATTCGCAATCAAGAAATGTTCTAGTCTTTCAATATAATAGTTCCAGTACAAACCATTTGCCGGGTTAAATGCCTCCATCAGTCCTATAGTGGCCATAGCTAGTTTTATCCTCGACGCCAATGTAATAACCGGTAACAGCTGATAATGTAAACCAGAACCGACAGCCGGGAAAGCCAAGTCAACACTGGAGAGCTAGTGCTTCCCCCTATAAACAATAGCCACGGTCATCACACGCCGAGGCGTGATTGTTTGAGTCGGTCGCGTTAACCTCATCCCATGGCACGCTACCACAGTAACCGCGGGTTTTACTTTCAGATTGATATTGAGGTTACTGTAGCCATTGAGAAGACGTGCCGCGACGTGTTGAACGAACGTACACAGTCATGCGTGTTGATCGTATACACTGTAGTTTACGAACCATAGTTATAGAGTAATTTGTTGATTGATAATTGTTCGGAGTTAGAACGTTATTAGGATGCTAAAAAGGCATGTAATTCGCCGGTATTTCTGTTAGGGATCGTCTCATTAGTTTGCATAATTTAATGCCGGATTACTCTGAATTTAGTAAACTGCATTGCATAACTTGGGAAGTGGTCAACTCATTCATGACTTATTGTTAAGAACCGAATAGCAACATTGACATTGATATAGAGTTTAGAATGATTGCACCTATTGGTAATTTTATTCGTGTGTAGTTATAAACGGGTTGGAAAGTATTGTAATCTGATTTCCAGGTATCTGCTACTGTTACTTGATGATGTAAAGGTCAAAGGTGCAAGTAGTTCTATGTCCGGACAAAGCAGTAAGTTTGAATTGAACTGTACGATGTCATTTGTATGCTAGTTGTGAATTTAAACTGTAATTATTCGAATCATTGTACTATTTAGCGTCAGCAAAGAACTAAAAATCATTATTGTTATTTTTTTCAGAATTGAATGGTAGTTTATAAATAAACCACAATACATTAATCACTCACGCACCACACGTCCTATTGATAACTATATAAGAGATGTGTATGTTGAGAGAAACAACTCGAGTTTCGAGAAACAACTCCCACAAAAAGATCTTGGAATTCTTTAATCAGTCTTTGTGTGTACGACATGAAGCTCATGATTTGAGTAAATTATTCAACGAGTTTCCTAAATGGCTTTATCATGTTTATTCGAAACGTGTTTTTCTATGTACATAAATGTTCAATAGCAGTGCGCTGTCTCGATATTATTACATTTTTCACTGTATTTCATTCTATGTTTGATTTGATCTCATTCGAACATCTATTAATCTCGTCTAAATTTGCCTTTCTACATGACAACGTTCACCTATTAATACTTCCAGTGGAAGTCTATGTTCTCAACGATGCATGACATTTGAATACTTTCTGTCATTTGTACTCAACTCAGCGGCTGCATCTAATCAATAAATGATATTTATGATGTTAATGTTCACTGCATTACTGCTACAAATAAAAGCCCACATCGTTTCTTGAAGTTTAGCGTTCTGCTTAACAGCTCAGTTGTTTTTCTAATCAGTCTACGCGCCTTTATCCCTATCGCACACTAGTTTTTTCCACATCTCCTTTTCCACCTAAAGCACAGTATATCTCGCCGCCTCCTCACTATTATTTTATCTAGCTGTGTATGCACACCCACGCTCACACACACTCTCTCTATCTCTCTCTGTCTCTCTGTCTCTCTCTCTCTCTCTCTCTCACACACACACACACACACACACACACACAC